CGATTCTTCTAAGCAATAATACAGATCTAATTCGTCTAACCTGTTATTATAAAAAGTACTATTTTCCGGGGGAATGTAACAAAAGGCAAATAAAAATGGTATATCGCCGGTAGTTAGTTTTACCCAAATAATGCTGTCATGAATATTTTCTAATACCGACACTACATTTTTTAAGTGATATTTGTACAAAATAACTATACCACCACCTAAACCAACAGATCTGGGGAAAACATATTTACAAAACCCAGGTAAATCAGGAATATGTTCATCATTTATCCAACATTCACACAAGAAAACAATATCATGGTTTTTAATGATTGATAGGAAAGAGTCGTCGCTCAGTTTATCCAACAAGCCTTTCCCAATGTTCCAGGAGATTATTGAAACATTAGACAGTTCACTCTCGGCGCCCCCCTATCTGGCTTGATTGTCATTGACTGCCACACTTGAATTGACGCGATCACTCTCACCTGTACCCTGAGCACTTAACTGTACTTCGTAATCCATGAAATCTTCTCCACCGTCACACGGGTTGTAAAGCTCACCGTTTACTATGAGTTTGTCACGTACAAGTTTTACACGATTGCCCTCCTCTCGTAATCTTTTTACTTCAGGTAGAAGTTGTTTTCTACGATCTTCTATTTTAGCTGGAAATTGCTCCCGTATCCCGTATGGTTTATTTTTCAGCATGTAGCCTCGGTCCTTTACCATATCCCGTTCTTTGTTATAAAGAAATCGTGCCACAATCGTTCAGATATTTGAATCAACTTGTAGGATAATTATGACAGCTTGTCAAATGATTATGTTGGCATGGCAGATCTTTATGTCGACTTGAAAGAAACTTATGTCGACTTGTCAGAAAAACATGTTGTCAACTCGAGGATTCAAACTGAGCATGGACACATTTTTCTGTTGATGTTTTAAGCATACGAATAAGTGAAAATTCGACATAGTTATCTGACAAGTCGACATAATTTTCTGATAAGTCGACAAATTATCTGACAGGTCGATATAACTACCTGACAAGTCATCATAATTATCTGACAGAGAGTGACAGAACAATGCCACCATAACACGCTTTAATAAAATGACATTGAGTTCCTAGCCGTGTTGATTACATGTATTATCTGACAAGTCGACACAAACATCTGACAAGTTGACATAAATATCTGACAAGTGATTTCTGTGATGGCATATTTCTGCCACCACTTGTCAGATATTAATGTCGACTTGTGTATTTATGGTAACCTTGTCGGATCCTTATGTCGACTTGTCAGATAATAATTTTCAAGTCTAGGAACTCTGTATCCTTTGAAGAGCGTAAATGCCACTAATGACATTTACTTGTCATCATATTATCTGACAAGTCGACAGTAGTGTTTAAAATAATAATCTTAATAATCTGAAAAAAAACAACATAATTTTCTGACAAGTAGAAATTAATTTCATATAATCGACATAATTTTCTGACAAGTCAGCATAATTATATCCCACAAGTCGTCATATCTGACACGTCGACATAATTTTGTACATGTCATCATAATTATCTGACAAGGCCACATGTTATTTCTAAAATCGACTTGTCACATGTTATGTCGGCTTTTCAGGTAATGATATCGACTTGTCAGATGTTATGTCGACTTGTCAGATAATTCTGAAGACTTGCTAGAAAGTTGTGTCGACTTTTCAGATGATTATGTTGACTTGTCAAACCTTTATATCGACTTGTCAGATCTTATAAATATTATCTTGTTAGAAAAATATGTTGTCAACTGGATGGCAGAAACCAAACTGGACATGGACACGTTTTCATTTTGAATTTCTACAGACGTCTAGTAAATAAGTGAGAAATCAACAAAAAGATCTGATAAGTCTACATAATATTATCTGACAAGTCGATATGAACAACTGACAAGTCAACATAAACATCTGACAAGTGGTGACAACAATATGCCACCATAGGTGTTATTTGACAACATATGATACTTTTCATCGACTTCATGAAAAATTTCTGAATGAAGTGTTAGATCATATCCTCTTGAACGTTTAAAACTGAAGTATTTTACTTTTTACACTCCAGCTATTCACTTACATGTAATTTACATTAAAAATGACAAACTGTCTAGGTTTTATCTATAGCAGTTACGGTGTGTTGTTGAATGTTTCAGCCTTTTTAGTGTAATGATAACGCTTATCTTATGTGTTGTTTATGTAATGTAGATAACTAAATGCCACAGTACTTCATAAGTAGCCTTAATTCAGGGACGAAAGTGAGAAATTCCGCGGGGGAATGGAACCTTTCCAAAAGCATTTTAAATTGGTGGTGATCTTTGGACACACTTAAAACAAAATTTTTATTGTGTGTGTGGGAGGGTATTTATTGGGAGGTTGTTTTGTTGTTGTTTTGTTTTTGGATGTCTCAATTCTCTCTATTTGTGTAAATGCGAAGATATAACTTGGGGAAAATTTCAGTACAGAAAAACAAAATTGCAAAAATGCAGAATTTTAAGAAAAAAATTGTGTATTTAATGAGTCTAAAATTTTACAATGAAAACAGCATGTTTTCATGAGTCGATGAATATTTTTCTATAACACGTTTATATTTGATCTGGTCAAATTTAATTATGTTCAACAAATTCACAGTAATTGTTAGCAAGCCGCGGAACATTTTTACCTGGACGTCGGTTGAAAAAACTTAGTGGACGGAATTGACGCTTGATTTTTATATAGATTAAAGCTATAAATCCTGTATGTGAGGTTGTATTAAAATTAAAATAGCCATCTTAAGTGATTGACATTTCCTTTTTAAATAAATTCATTGATCTATCGAAGATATCATAAAATGTTCTTCATCATTGTCCTATTAACAATATATTTAAGGGAGCCGACTGGGGTTTTATTGTGTGAAAACTACTATAGAGAAACTCTTTAATTTTATATCATATATACCTTACATTGACTTCAGTATACATGTCAAGTTTAGTGAAAATCTACCGTCTGGTTATTTTTGAGGGACCGTCTCAAAATACAGGTACATTTACTATAGGATTATGTAGAAAAATACCATTTTTTCGCAGTTCGGAGCAAATTATACAAATACTACAGGACTATAGACTTTTTGCTCAAATTTTATTATTTGATGGGTAATACTATATTGTACATTTTGTGCAAAAAACACAAAATTCTACCGTCTGGTTTCCAGAGGGGGCATCTCAAAATGTTAAAATTCATGAAATTTTCCGGTTTTTATGGAATACAACAAAACATGACAGGTACCACAGATTTACATAAAAAATAATAACAATGATTGCTAGATTTTCAATTTCCTATGTTTAAAATTTCAAGAGCATATATTTTATACTTCTTATTTTATGGCGTAATTAATGACCCCGCTTAAAGAACTTCGGTTATTCATAACGTCAAAAACACACCATTACGACGTCTTTCTACCCATCATTTGAAAAATCGTTAAAAAATCAGTTAATTAAAAACGTAATTAGATTTTTTAACCTCATATTTCCTAAATTTGTTATTTATTATAAATTTTGTAAAAATAGTTGCTTTAAAAGAGTTAATACGCTTTATTTTACTATGCTGCGCGAAGTATTGCGCAATGAAAACCCCGTCGGCTTTATTCATCCCTGTTGAAATTTACAGAACAAAGAAGTAGAAGTCGGGGGGGGGGGGGTCACTTTCTTTTATCTTAAGGAGGAGAAGGACCTTGAGCTGAAAAAATACTTGTCATTCAATTTTTTTCATATTTTGTTTATTTCTAATTAAGTATGTCCCACATATCTTAAAGCAGTTATATCATTAGGTTTCTAACCTTATTTTGGAGATATTGATTGACAAATACTATGCCCTACAGTATCTAAGTGAAGTTTTAATTCTCAATGTTTCCGGGCGCATTACTCTGTCCATAATGGGATTTTTTGAGCATACATAAAAAATATCAAAGTGGACATGTATCTTTTAAAAAATTTCAGAGTAGCAAGTTTTGTCTATCACACTGCATCTGGATAGGGAAAATTATGCACTTTTTAAGACAACTTAAACAATAAAAAACGTAATTTACAAAAAATTCTATCATTCAATATTTTTTAATTTACGTTGAAATGCATATCCTTCAAATTATTGATTAACTGTAAAAGTTTCGAATGATGAAGCTGACCTCATTATTTCACAGGACATCGTTAAAGAGGACATAAGCGTGACAAAAACCTTCTCGAGTACGGGAAAAAACAACTATGACGTCACACGTAAGCTAAATAAGCGAAATAAGATATACCTACATAAGATTTCCGTCATCAGCCATCCAAAAATAACTTTTGTGTTCCCCGTTTCTCAAAATATTTCATCATATACTGATTATGACCTGTTTTACATAATAATACCGCCCCTCTGTTCACCGAGTATGATCTTCTGTACTAACAGATCGTGTATGACGTCACCGACTTGTTGGACGCGCAGTTTAGAGAAACAGAGGAGTGGATCAATCTTTTTCATAATTTGTTAATGTTTACAAGAATGTTAATTTTTTTTTAATTTTTCTTATATAAGATCAGAGGCGTAGTCACAAACTTAAAAGTGGGGGGGGGGGGGGCTCAAATCCAAGAAAGATGTAAAATGTGTAATATAAAGAAATTAAGATGTAAAACATGTAATATCAAGCCCCTGTCTAAGTTGAATGAGAGGACTTCAAATAGTGCACTTAAAAGTTGATCGACATTCATCACAGGTATACCGAAATCAGAATCCAATACTTGCAGCTATCTTGTAGAAATTACTAATCTTGGTGAGATTCGGATTGGCTAGGATATATTCTAAAGTACATAGCTATTAGTTAATAGTTTCCAAAGTACAGTTTCAGACTTGGAATCTTCTGGATGAATAACTTTGCTATTTCTTTGATGTTGACTTGGTCAGTTCTCTCTTTGTGAACAAAACAAGTCATACAGTGATTCAATCTTGCCTGCGTCATTGTACTTCGGAGGTAGGTTTTAATCCTCCTTAAGGACGAAAAAGATCTTTCTGCATGGTGTGGCAGTTTTGACTGGAACACTAAGATAAATTTGTACAAGCTTCGTAACTTCTGACAGAAGTTTCTTTGTGATAGGCTCCTTCATGTGTTGACAAATTGTATCTATCAAGGTAACTTTTTTGATTTTATTTTCACTGTCAACTTTGAAAATATCAGGCAACATTTTGAGCTGCTGTTCAAGCCTCGGAAAAGAAATATCATCTTTGTAAAGCATGGCAATTTCTTCAGACACAGAATAAAACTCTCCATTTGCTGCATTTAACAAAAGTGATTCGATTTCCTTGACAATGGTCATGTTCTTTTGTTCAAATCTGTTTTCAAGAGTACCTACAGCTTGTTCTAATGCTTCAAAGAACTGCTGTTTAAAGTAACCCTTGGTATTATCATATCTATGGGGATTGGATCCATCATCTAATCTTTTGGGAGCACGCCTATATCTTGGCAGTGATGGTTCGTGTGTCAGGTCTTTTGTCTCTGCACAAACTGCATCATAAAAGTCAGAAAACACAGAGTCATTTCTTTGGCGCTCAAAGTAGGATACAGTGGCTTTTGATGCCCTGATAGCATCCTGTGCTGAAGTATTTTTCCCCTTGATTGAAATGGATAACTGCTCAGATGCAGCAAATATTAAGTGTGATAGCTTCAATCCAAAATATGTTGAAAACTTTTCCATCATAGCCAGTTGTCCACCTGCTCGTCTGGAGTATTCATCATTTGTATTAGTATGTATGTCATCTAAAAAGTCTTGTAGAACTTTGTAGTTCTGTATTACAGATTCTATAGCATATGTTCTAACAGTCCATCGAGTTGGACAAATTGGTCTGAGGTTTGGTGAACTAAGATTTGTTTCTTGCAATTTCTTTTGCATGAAGAGATGTTTTCTCTTTGGAGATAGACAAATAAGTTTTTCAATTTCAGTGACCAAGTCCATTGAATCACGTATTGCGGAACATGTTTTGGTAACATCTTGAACACTAAGATTAATACAATGAGCAAGACAGTGGACGCTTATGGCAGATGGATACTGGTTCTGGATTTGTTTTGCTACACCTGTTAAGTGTCCCGACATATTTGGCGCACCATCATATGCCTGACCCCGACATAATTCTAAGGGCAAACCACTTCTAATAAGAACATCTTTCACTGCCAAAGCTATATAGTCACTTGTTTACGAATGAATTTCAAAAAGACCTAACATATCTTCATGAATATTGAAACTGTCATCAACCCATCTGACACATACAACTAACTGTTCTTTGTATGCAACATCCATAGTCTCGTCTGCCATAATAGAAAACCATTTTGCCTGTCTTACATCATCAAGCACTGATCTCAAAATTTCCAGTCCAATCAGAGAAATTTGTTCATTCACAATTTCTGGAGAAATATATCTCCCTTTTTCAATCCATGACAAGATTGTTGGGTTATCTTCAGCTCGCAATTTAAGTAGCTGAATGAGGTGACCTTCAGATTCACTGTGTCCTCTGACTGCAAGTCCCTGTCGTAATAGAAATTTCAAGGAAGACAACTGACAGGAGAGTGCTAATCGTCTTTTCTTCTGGTCTTCCTTTTCCTTTTTATCTATCTGCTCATTTACAGCCATGGCACCACTTTGCAATCGCCTAATATTTGATTCTGCTTCTTTATGAGCTGATGAATTTTCATGTGTCTTGAAACGATTAATGGCTTTTTTCCAGTTTGAAAAGCCATTTTTAGAAAAGGCCAATTCCGCATTTTTACTCAGCATCAAAAGTTTTTTCTTAGCAGCATCTCGGCAGAAAAAGCAGAAGACATTTTTTCTGGTTGTGCAAAGTGTAAGCCAAGGAAAATCATCAAACCAATTTCCTTGAACAGCTCTTGTTATGGTTTTATTCTTTCTCTTTATTGTGACTTTTGTTTGTTGAAGTGTGTCTTTATCACGTGGTTGAAATGGAGTGGGTAAAGTACAGCATATGTCTCCACAATCATCTCTGAGTGCTGTTTTTTTAGAGCAACTTTTGTCAGCCAATGATTCGATAAACTCTGCATTTTCTGTGTCAACTAAATTCTGTTTTTCTTCTTGTAATACTTCCCCTTCCATAATTTTTTGTGCACTTTCCTTGTTGCTGTTCTCTTTGGCAGAATCCTTATCGTCTATGACTTGACATTTCTTTTCTTCATACAGCGTGCTTGGTTTGTCACTCTGATTGGATTTAATGTCCATTTTTTCTGTCTCATTATGTATGATCAAAATTGATTTTTCTTTATATGCTGTAAATGTTGATGGTTTCGTATACCTTCAGTTTGTTTCTCGGATGTTTTATTCTTTTTCTGAAAGAAAGATTTCTGTTGCTTAACTTTTTTTCTTGATTTCTGTGGACTTTCTGACAGTTTTCTTTTTTAATGAACTGATGTTTGTTTCTTTACGAGTGGTACAAAATGATTTGGTTCAAACAGAGCACCATCACGTGTATCAAAATTGCCATCTCTAGTCCACATGATATACATAATCTCAATGTGCCTTTCATTTACTTCATTTGAACGTAGTGGGTAAAATAAATTGTTGAAAAGTGGCCTGATTCCCATATTAACCTCAGGATAAACAGAGTATATAGGGCGTTGGAGAACTGTGGCCAATGCCATGATATGTATTAAACCAGACCATGCCTTATCTGTACATGTAGAATGTGCAACATTTCTCACATTGGTTTCATTTTCACTGCTAATCTCAGCTGTAGGAAATATCATTGCTCTGGCATCACTTAAATTCCTAGACATAAATTCTGGGTTCTTGATGACAGTTTCCAGAGCAGGATGATCTGTGTACAATTGTCCATTGCTGAAGAGTTCGCAAGCAGTTAAAATTCGTAGACTTGTGGACAAGTGCTCATCTCCACAGAGCACAAGTGATGCACTATTATATAAGCAATTTCCATTCCCCGTGCATTTCAGGGCTTGTTGGCCACCTTCATCTACTTTTATTTCCGATGGAATTAACACTGACGCTAATTTATCTGATTGGAGTCTTTCATAATCAGATTGACAAGATTCATCCTGGACTCTTCGCAAATGTTTTAAACGTATGCTTACCACAGAGTCCTCATCGTTTATCTTCATTGCTGACAATAAATTGTCAAGTTCATTCATTGTTCTAAAATAAAATTCCAGGTGTTCAAATAAATTTAGCTTGATTTTTGTTTTAGTTACAGTAACATTAATATTTTAATTTGTTAACTCCAGAATAGCTTGAATGAGTGGTCTTATACAACAGTTTCATCTATGACTGTATTAATTCTACATCAATTTAATCCTTTTGCTAATAACACAAAACAAAATAATCATAAAAACTTACTGATTGAAAGAGATGGTCAGACTGCAAGCATATAATCACTAATGATTGAATTAGCAAATAATTAAAAAATCCAGAGGTTTGACAAATCTTACTGCAAGGCCAATGTGTTAAACAAGAAATGAGATACAGCAAATAAATAATGGTTTTTAGATGTCAGCACAAGGGGCAGTTTGTGCTTCTCATTTAATTTTGTTAGATAACAGATGCTGACTGAAACAGAAACGTCTAAACTTAGGTCAGATTTATGGCCCGTACTCCCTATTCCAAACATGTGAACACAAGAGGTCTTGACAGATTTAATTATTATATTACATTACTATTACTAGCTTACTCAGTTGTTGCTGAAAATAAAATAAATTTGCCATAAAATGAGGTTTAATATGATTTCAACATAGCTGTGATTTTGTTCTACATTAAGTGGGGAGGGGGGGCACAGACATACTCTTGCCCCCCCCATATCTGAAAGTGTGGGGGGGCTAGTGCCCCCGCGGCCCCCCCCCCCCCACCTTGTGACTACGTCACTGAAGATGGTAATTAAAGTTAAAAAATTGTCAAAAAATTATACAAGAACTGATACTTTACACGTTTTGCACTTATATAAACGGAGACTATGACGTAGTTAAACAGAGTCATGTGACCATGTGTCCTTCATCCCCTTAAGGTCAAGATCTAGTAAATGACTTTAGACTGTCTTTTTGGTGCTAGATCCATTATGACGTCATAATCAATTTTAACTTTATTTTTCCCGTACTTTACGGCGTAATAGAATTATGTAGAAAATAAATTACTTTCATGAAATTCAATTTGAAATCATGTGAAAATTAATCCCGATACCTATATTTAATTGGATTTTATTTTAAAGAAGAGGCTAAGAACACACAAATTACCATTTTCTGAGAGACTGTAGGCAATCTGGATACCTTCCATTTGTCTGATATGGAAAAAACTCCCATATTCGTGACTGGTTTTTCTTAATTTTTCATTGAAAATGACAGTTTAAAATATGATTCTTCGTCTCGTTTATTTGACCAAGCTATAGTTATAAAATATCATTAAAGGAATTTATTTCTCAAATTTGAGAAATCTGTAGGCTCCTTTCATTTACTAGATCTTGACCTTAAGATAAGATTTTGGTTTTTGTAATTACTAGACCGAACTCTGAACGCTTTTAAAACTCTAACCTGCTCTCTTTGTATACAAATGTACATTATATATGCATGAGTATGTTTGACCTATTTCGGATAAATACATATACTTTTGTATCATGACTGTTAGTTCGAATTCATAAGGAAGTACATTTCATAGACAATAAAGAACTTTTAAAAATTTAACATAGTTCCTCAAAAGGAGAAACTCAGTTAAGTTATATTTAATCAGAGACCACAGTCACATTTACAACGATCAATCAAAATGGTGATCGATGGTTTACTGAGGAATGGAGACTTTTTTTTCTTACCTTTATAATATTTATTGTGATTTTTCAGTATAGTTTTATTCATTCTGATTTTTTTTGTTTTGTCAAGTCATTTGATTTATTAAAATAGCCCACAATGGTTTAACGTCACCAGACAGCAGTAATAAGGATAAACGGGGAGTATCATTCAACTTTCTCACTCCTCCCCCCTTTTCTCCTCTATATCTACTTCCTTCTTTTTTTTTCTCCTCTCTCACCTTCGTCTCATTTCCCCCTTTTTGCTGTTCCCCACATTGTAGGGTCCGATATTTCCTTTTAACTTTACATTAAACGAGGGGCATGTATGTATTCATAAACCTTGTTCTAATTTTAAGTCTAGATTGTATCCTCAGCACGTGAGGCTGAACATCAGATATGATTTGATAGCGAGAATGGCAACAGGCCATTGGCAGTTTCAAATATCTATTTACTTCATTATCCATATTCAGGTCACAAAAACCCCACTAGTCACGTATATGTTTTCAAAACAACTTTTTTTACTGCATCGTGATGGCGTTCAGCGTAGCTAAATTTCAAACTTCGGCCCTCTTGAAAGGTCAAGAGCACATACGCAAAATATAAAAGCAGACGACAGACATACTCACAACATATCTTGTCTTGCTGCGTCAGTGAACGTACGGGCAAATCAAAACACAAATCCACCCTTTTACAAAAGATTCTTACTTCAACATCAGCCACAGGAAATAAACACCAACAATGGCAGAATCACAGTGCCGTCAAAATTTCCACCAAGAGAGCGAAGCTGGCATCAACCGCCAGATTAACTTGGAGCTGTATGCCAGCTATACCTACCAATCCATGGTAAGCCAATTTAAATTAACTCCAAGCTCACCGTTGCTTTTTATTGTATGATAACCCAGTTTATATAAATATTCTAATTTCCTTCATCTGTTCCTTGCTGTTTTTTTCTTAAATCTCAAAAAAAAAAACCATTACTAGAGATTTACTTAGTAAATTTTCTATAACGCAGAAGTACAAAGTATCCGTATTTGTCTGCTTGTTGTAGTCCTTCTACTTCGATCGTGATGATGTGGCTCTCCCTGGATTCAGCAAGTACTTCAAGAAAGCTTCTGACGAGGAGCGAGAACACGCCGAGAGGCTGATGAAGTACCAGAATAAGAGAGGGGGACGCATTGTCCTCCAGGACATCAAGGTCAGTGGTCTAGACGAAAGTGCAAAGAAATCTAAAGTACATGTAAATCCAAATTCATACACGTGTGCATTCTATCGTAGCACAGTCAAGGAAATATTAAGTAGAATTAGAATTGGCGGTTATAGCCAAAACAATTAATCTTTTTGTAGGGAAAGGACAGAAACAGTCTGTGCCTTCTGGCAAATCCCATTCACATAAGTGAATACAATTTCATTTTAATTAAATTGGCCTAATGAATTTATTTAATATTTTACGTCGACAATTTTCAGAAACCCGACCGTGATGAGTGGGGTACTGGCCTGGATGCCATGCAGGTGGCGCTTCAGCTGGAGAAGACTGTGAACCAGTCTCTCCTTGACCTTCACAAGGTCGCCGATTCCCACGGAGATCCACAGGTAAGAAAAAAATATACCTTTTATGCAAATATCTGTATGGATTATCCTTAAAAATTTAGGCTACTTTTAAAACATTATATTATCAATTATAGATGACTGACTTCATCGAGAGACATTTCCTGGAGGAGCAAGTGGACGCCATCAAAGAGATTTCTGACCACATCACGCAGCTGAAGAGAGTCGGAAGTGGATTGGGAGAGTATGAATACGACCGTCGTCTTGACTCCTAAAGGTCAAAGTTCAAAAGGACACTTCGTAACACCCTTTAAAATTTGTTTTGACCTTTTTCAAGACGTATAAGTGAAAATTTGAGCATTTTTATTAGACACTGGGAAAAAAAAACGGAAAAAAAGATTATGGGTGTACAAAAAAATTGATAAACAAATAAAAATTGCAAAATGTTATGCGAGATTTGTTTCTATGTTGATATATACTAGTACATATATGTCTACTATGTATAAAAAGGTGATATGTGTGTGTTTTTAATTTCCTATACAGTACATGTGTATAAGGTCATATGACATGTCCCTCAATAATATATTAATTTTCCTAAGTGGTTAAAGTATTGCTACTTTAACATGTTTCCCGCCAAATAATAAGGTATTGCCAGGCATTCGTGCAACGAGGCATTTCCAAAATCCCTTGAATTGCCGATATCACAATTTTTGGTATAACTATGTATTTTAAACATATTGAAAACAGTTTAGAATTCAGAAGATAATAAATTATGAGTGTTTTATTGGATATTACAAAGATGGAGATACAGAAAAATATGAAGGAATTAACATGTCGTTATACCTTAAATTCAATGCAGGACTCATATACTACAAGTATATAATATAGCGAGGTTGTCGTTTGGTTCAAATACATTTCCCATTTCCTACAAGTACATTGTATGAGCAGTCTAGACTTGTCTATCATCCCCGCTAATAAGGTAATTTATATCCTTCCATCAATGTACGAGAGCCTGACCAACGTTTGTTATTGTAGATTGTAGAGATCTATAGATATACAGGAAAATATATACATAACCTTAACAGCTTAACTTACGCAGTAAGTATCTTGCATAATTTAATCACCATCTACATACACAACATTTTTTTCCCAGCGGGATCTGCTCTCTACCAAAACTATCACTTTTACTGTGCAGTGTTATAAATCGAGGGAACAATAATAATATTATTTATTTATAAATAGTAAATAAGCTAAAATGTCTTTATATAAATATGCCCTTCAATGGATAGCCTTGTATTTACTTCTGCAAATAAAACCAGTGTTTTATTAGTTAGAGTTCTGGTTCACTCTCCAGCTGTCAAAGCGCCACCTACATGGCATCCAGTACCCCACTCATCACGGTCGGGTTTCTGAAAATTGTCGAATGTAAAAGATTAAAATAAATAAACCAATTTAATTAAAATGACTCTTTATTCACTAGTATGAATGGTATTGGTCAGAAGGCACAGCCTGTTTCAGCCCTTTCCCTAAAAAAAATTGTTTTGGCTATAACAGCCAATTCTACAGTAATTCTATCCATTCCTATAGGAATTACTGCACTGCTTTGTTTTTATATTCTTTAAGGTATAAGCTTGAAATTTTTTTCATCCTTTTCTCGTTTTTTTTAAAAAATATTTAATATATATACTAAAAAAAATAAATACTTGTATATGCATGGCCGTAGGAACCCGGGGGCACGGGGGGGGGGGCGTGCCCCCCAATAATTTTACTGATATATAGTTTACTATAGAAATACTTTAGAAAACATAGCTACTACTAGTATATGCTTGTGCCCCCTCAATAAAAACGTCTGATGACCTTTTTTTTTTCGCTTGTCAAGGAATTTTTGGTAGTTGATAGTGCCCCCTCAACTGAAAATGTATAGCTGTGCCCCCCCCCCCCCCAAACTGAAATTGCTTCCTACGGGCCTGATATGTACATGTAAACGAATTATAATTTATATGTATTTTCTAAAATTTGTGTTTCATGAAAGTAATAAGATCTTTTTGACTTAAGATTATTACGATCAATAATAATGTCAAACGACTACCGGTAGGGTGAAGTTACGCATGCAGTGTTGATTTTTTTTTTTCATTAAACGACCAAGTCCGAGTTGATCAAGGGTTACAGAGCTTTTTTGTTTGTTTGTTTTATCTTTTGGCAATAATACCTAGCTCTGATTTCTTATCAAATAACAATGCTGGATCAGGAATGGTTTCTAGTAATACAACTGCAAAGTATTGCAAAGAAGCTTTAGTGGTATTGAATGATGAACCACAATGCTGTATACATATTGCTAGCATAATTTGCTACCAGAAGTCTCTGAAGAGACTGTAGCTCTACTGGTCTGTACGTATAACAAAGTAGCACTTGGATTTGAAACTTTAAAATATGCAACATAAATAGAATTATGTATCTTAATGTAGTCTACTTCTGTGCCAAGTTATATTGAAATCAAATAAAAACTGTAGGAGGAGTAACGTTTTAAAGGAATTTCACAGAAATTTCTATTTTTAGTAACCATGGCAACACTATTCATCGAAATCAAAAACCGATGCATTAAATTGTGTATCTTAGTATAGTCTTCTTGCATGCCAAATTATATTAAAATCAGAGCAAAACTGTAGCAGGAGTAGCATTTTAAAGTAATTTCACAGAAATTTCTATTTTTAGTAACCATGGCAACACCGTTCATCAAAATCAAAAACCGATGCACTAAATTATGTATCTTAGTGTAGGAGTGTGCCAAGTTATATTGAAATCAGAACAGAACTGTAAGAGGAGTAGCGTTTTAAAGGAATTTCACAGAAATTTCTATTTTTAGTAACCACGGCAACACCGTTCATTGAAATCAAAAACCGATGCACTAAATTATGTATCTTAGTGTAGGAGTGTGCCAAGTTATATTGAAATCAGAGCAAAACTGTAGCAGGAGTAGCATTTTAAAGTAATTTCACAGAAATTTCTATTTTTAGTAACCATGGCAACACCGTTTATTGAAATCAAAAACCGATGCACTAAATTATGTACCTTAGTGTAGTCTACTTGTATGCCAAGTTATATTGAAATCAGAGCAAAACTGAAGGAGGAGTAGCGTTTTAAAGGAATTTCACAGAAATATCTATTTTTAGTAACCATGGTAACACCGTTCATTGAAATCAAAAACCGATGCATTAAATTATGTATCTTAGTGTAGTTTACTTGTGTGCCAAGTTACATTGAAATCAGACCAAAACTGTAGGAGGAGTAGCGTTTTGAAAAATTGTTTACAGACAGACAGACAGACGGACGACGGTCACCTTACTATCGCATAAGCTCTTCTGGTCTCTGACCAGTAGAGCTAAAAAATAAAGTGTATCTGGTGTTTTTTACTTTTGGATCTTCAGGAACTTGAGCATAAGGTTGATTTGTGAGCTGGGGCATTGTCATGCAGAATGTTCTTAATTCAAGTGGTTGCACGAGTAGTTATGGTTTTTTCTAAAGATACTTATAACAATTTAATATGTTCTTGTGATGCTTTGACAACATTCAGTAATCACTGGTAATCGCCATGGTTTGCCATTCATTGATGCTTTCACAACAGTCAGTAATTTCTCGATATCAGTTCAATGGTTTGCCATTCATGTACCTTATGTGCATTAACAATGTCTAAGAAAAGTCAGTTTCTTCACATATAATTGGTAGATATTTCAATAAAAAAAAGAAATAATTGTACCAATTTTTATTTAACAGTTTTCCTTTAATCCTTGAAAAGGTTATCTTTTAAGGTATTTAGTTTATTTTCTGCTTTCTTCTATTTTTTAAATGAACAAATACCAGAAACATATATTCAGGATATGCACATATTTATTAAACAGCCACTGTTCTCAAATACATCTTGAACATATTGCACTAGTGCCATTAACAAGTACTTAAACATAAATATCTATACATGACTTATCACTATAATTATCACCTTAACAACATTAAGTGTATACGTACCCAACAATCAAAGGGAAAAAAATAAAAACAGTTACACATAACTTACAATTGGCATGGCTATATTAACAAATCAATGCCAATTAAAGAACAAGGTTAATATAAACAAAGAAAAGCCTTCCTTATATTGAGTTCATTTTGAATAATTATTTTGTCTTAAGCACATTCTTTTCAATATTTAAAAAATTGCAATCATTCAAATTCATTTAAAAAAAATATATCACAATTTGTGCCTTATATACAAATTTAATTCAATATTATTTATCAAGAATTAATCAATTTCTAACAAATTAATGATATAAATTGATTAAGGAATGTTCAACATCATATGACAATTATACGTTTTAAGACATGTAAGAGTCAGCAAATTGTTTACTCTTGTTTAAGCTTTTTGAAAAATAAATTAAAATCTTCCGGCAGATTTCTTTAAATAGAGTAACATTTGAGTAACATTATTTTCATTTAAAAAAAAAAAGCATAAAAAAAAACACATTTGTAATCCCACTTTTGATAGTGAAATCCTATTTTGGTTAACTTTTAACCTGTTAATGGCCAGTCTTGACTCCACACTACAGAGTTAATCCCATTACTGTAGATTCCTAAATACACTCGCGAAATAAAATTACTCGCTTTTATTTTTATGGTGTTGAAATTAATGTTAAATCTCATTATAAACCGTCCAATCGCGAATAATTGTTCTCGCGATTTGGCGTCTAAGAGCCCTTTCGCGACATTAAGTACTCGCATAAAATAAGGAATTTACAGTATTCTCGGATAAATGTGGATTAACTCTTCTTGCATCCACACTGGGTTACCATACTGAGAATGAACTCAATCAAGTATCTAATGTGACATCATTAATTCACAGTAGCATTACGTATGGTAAAATTACTCCACAATCAGAACTGTTGTGTGGTCTGTGGATATGACCAAGATTTTGGATAAAGTTAATCTGGATTAACTTGATCAAGTGTGGACTGGAACTTTTGATGAAACTTTATGAGCATCTTGACATAAAACTTGCAAAAATAACAATCATTTATTTTGTATAATAATAAATATGGCAAATATTAAAGTATGGACAGACCCTACAGATATGGCTCTTGTTACAGAATATACCTAAGTCCCGGTTTATTTACAGTGTATATCTCTGTAAGTTCAAAGAAAATCAATGATTTTTTTTTAATGTTTTGTAAATATAGCATTACATATACAAAAACAGTACCACCAACTTATGCTTAAAATATCAATGGTACACTGTAAAAGTGATCATTCATACTTATTCAGAACTAATAACCAATATAGTTGTTCACATTTAGAGCATTCAAATTCTCAAGAAACATCCCTCACATACAGATAAATTCTAATCCAAGATCTAGACCTTTTCTGCTTTACAATCATCTACACTGACTATGTGCACTTGGCAATTGAACAATGCATAAAAACATGTACATGAAACTAACATAGAGGGGGTTCCATAAGGGGTATTTTAAACTAACACCAACATAGGCTCAAAAGGGATAACTGACACTGAGATTTCTATGATATGGAATGTTGAGAAGCAAGTTTAGTATTATTAAATACTCATTCACAAAATTTTACTAAATTTCTTTTGACTACAACACAAAATTTTTGCAAAGCAGAAATGTTCTTTAAAGCATTTTTTTTTTTATGTAATGAGGGAATGAAAAAGTCAGTTATGAAAGAAAATAAGATGAATTCATCACAGCTGATCTTTGTGATCAGAACATACAAACTTTACAAAATACCCAGAAATTACTAATAATATGGCATTTCCCCCCAACCTTTGCAATGCCATCAATTGTAAGTAAAACTAGCTTCTATTTTTTCCCCCATAAATAGTTTTTTTTTTTGCCAAGCAAAATTGTTCTTTAATTAAAACCCTACATTTACTTCACATTAAAAAAAACATGAAAAAGGTAAATATTAGATTTGTTTCACTACTTTGTTTATAATGTGGGAGTTCAATCTCTGAACTATCAACAATACTGCCTGAATGGATAACACTGTTAAACCTTTATAATAAAAAATCATTTTTGATAAAAAAGAAAAGTCTATTGTGCACCGAGTGCAATTCTTTTTTAAATCATAACAATTCTGGCAACCTAAGAGCGGGTAACATACTGTCCACAAGATTGACCCACAAATTCGCACACACCGCGTGATACTGTCGCCCACCATAGGTAAGTTTGGCACACTGCTCTTCACTGCCGAAGTCTTTACACGTGGCGTCTACGTCTAATAAACACACACCACAGGCTCGGAACTGGGCTACCTGATCGTCAGATTTCAAGATGCCGTTTTTGCAATCTAGATCTTTATCCTCTGGCTGTAATTATGCATCAATTAAAGGTAAAATTTCAATTTGAAACAACTGGCAGTTTCTATAATTTTAGCATTTTATACATTATTTTTATGACTAAGTTTTTTTTTTACTGCACATTCTTTCAAGCTTTCAGAAGGATACAGGAAAATATGAAGTTTTAAGTGTTGATTTAAACATGCCAAATATATGACATATACGATTTTTTTTAAATATACATATTACAAACACATGTATTTTCTCAAGGACAAAATTAAAATTTACTATACAAACCATCATATTTCCTCCAACAAGAAAGGCTGCCAAATTATTCCAGGCCAGATCTATGTCTTTCAAGAGTTGTTTTAATTTTTCATTTGTTAGCCCTACAAAGAGGAAAATTGTGCATGATTTTGTTTACAGCTGTATAATTACACCAATATAAGCCTTATCATACCCTAATGCCACCAGAAAATATCCCCATTCTTTGTATTTTATCATATTTCAATATGATTCATACTATTTTATATGTAAAGTTTTTGTCAAGTTACCACTCAAAATGCAACAGATTCACTTAGGTGTGTAAAATGCATATCCTGACTTTGAGGTGTATTTCTTAGGGATGTGTATGTATTTGAAAATCTGTCATGTACATGTAATTCAAACCTTCAAAAGGAAATGAAATGTGAAGTGAAATTACATAATTTACCAGTATATGTATGTATACTTTTATTTCAGGTAAGCATATACCGGTAGGTGTAAATGTGTATATATTTTAAATGTATTTTGAAAAAAATAAAGCGATCATTGTTCACCTGTAGACTCTATAGACACATTAATTCTGCATACAACTCTGTAGATTTCAACAACACCTGAAAAACAGATTTATTTTTAGTATTAAATTCACGCCTTGAAAGCAAAGACAAAAGTTGCAGGAGAATCCCTTTGAACATACATGTACATGTATCAAATGAAAAAAAAAGTCACGAAGGAAAATAGGCACAAAGAAAAGATGGTTTACAGTAATCTAAATATTTTAAAAGCATTGCCTCTGGGAGACTGACCTGTGAACTGAGAACTTAGATTTCCTCACCTTTGACCTGGAAACTGGGAACTTTTAGATTTCCTCACCTTTGACCTGGAAACTGAGAACTTAGATTTCTTCACCTTTGACCTGGGAGCTGAGAACTTAGATTTCCTCACCTTTGACAAACTCTGAGCCCTGCTCTGAAGTGATGACCTCGTTACACACAGCTGAGCTACTGATTGAGTTAAAGACTGTGTTGGCATCTTTTACCACCTTGTAACAACTCTCCAGACATTTCTGCCATTCATGTACATGTTTGTCACTTCCCTTATAGAAATAAGCACATTACATGAAATAACTGCATCACAAAATGACCAAAAAATAATGAATTCAACGTTGAGTGAAGTTCAGTGACTTCCTTACAAAATTCTCAGATATTTACATGTAGGTAATGTTCCCCAGTTACAACCCATGACCATGATTTTTTTTTAATTTCTGATCAAAACAGGATCTAGAGACTTTACTGGAAACACCTATAAGATAATTGATACTGACTGGAATATCCTCCATCAAACAGCTGTATCTGTCTCCCAGAACAGGAAGTGGCTCGGAAACTTTACTGACAAATGGCAAAACTGGTTCTGTATCAAAATAAATTTACATAATACAATTTTAATTTTTTTTAAAATTGTTAAAAAGAGAGACAGATATAAAGGGTTCAATTCTGAATAAATTCAAATATGAAGACACAATAAGAGGTGGGGTTTCTTTTACCTGAAAATTGTGAAAAATTCTCCTTTTGTTCAGGTACATTTTCATCTTTGACTTCATTTTCAGGCATTTCCAAATTTTCAACAGACTCCACCTCTTCTTTCTTCAAATCCAGACTGTCCAGAGACTTTGATTCTGGATTGAAAGTCTTTTTCTGATGAGTCTCGAAATTACCAAACTCATTGCTGGATATAGACTGAGAGTCCATGTCTTTGACAACAGGAATCCGGCCTTTCAATCCAGGTAATTCTAAACTAGAAGTAGACATGGAATCCTCAGAAATAGCTGGATTACTAGGAAATCCAGATACATTTCCAGACACACTTGAAGAATCTGTCTCTGTAGGATCCAACACAGATGTCTGTGCTTTGTTGGTTAAGCCTTGTGATATGGATTTACTGGATGGAGCATCCATTCCATAGAAATTGTACAAATTCTTTTTCTTTTCATCCTGAGCAGCAGGTTTATTCACAACCTCATCCAAGTCATAACCTCGGCTAAAGTCACCGAAGGCATCATCCTCTTCATCCACATAATCCATGGGTGGAGGAGCCCTGAAATGATCATCATCCATATCGGAGTCCGAAGACAACTTTTTAGATTTTTGTGAAGGAATGTTTGTTGGAGCTGGGGGTATTTTTTCTCTTTCAGGTTCCACAAAATCATCCCTTGATACAACACTAACTGGATTTTCCTTCACTTTGAACAACCCCAGTATGTCTTTAGTCTGTAAATGTTGCTTTTTCACCTCTACAAGCTGAGGTGCCTCATTTGTATCTTTTATTGTATCATTACTTGCTGTTGAAGAGTGAAATGAAGCCCATTCATCTTTTGCTTCATCTTTAGTTACTTCTCCTTGAGAAAAATTTGACCAGTCATCTTTCTGTTGATCACTTACTACCTCTCCTTGTGAAAAACTAGACCAATCATCTTTTGGAATGTTTGTTACCTCAGTTCCATTTCCAAAAGCTGACCAGTCAGAATCATCCTTGGATGTGACATTGGCTGAACTTGAAAATGAAGACCAATCATTTTGTGTGTTACTTGTAAAGTTAGTTTGCAGCACATCAGATTGATCATTAATCTGCTTTAGTTCATCAACTTTAGCATCTGTGGACACTGCCTGAAAATCTGCCCAGGAATCCTCTTCACTTTCTGCAGTGGCTTTATTATCAAATATGGAAGGTGCTACAGTAACAGAGGTGTCCTCGCTGACCTCAAAAGCCCTCAGAGCAGCATATTTGTCCTCATCTCCAATTAAACAAGTGTCACTCTGTGAGGCCTTCAAAAGGTCAGCACCTTGTGGCTGTGAAGGGGCAGGTGGCTGTTCACTTGGTGCACCTTGAAAATCCGCAAAATCTGAATCCGATGATTCTGGAGGTGATAATCCAAAGTGGGCCCTTGGCAAATCCGACTGAGGCTTAGCAGCCTCTTTCTTAACTGTAGGTGGTTTAGACCAGAGATTTCTAGCTGCTGGTATGGCAGAGAGTGTTGCATTGCTGGGTAGCTGAGAGGACTGGGGGCTTGTAAATTTTGGGAGGGGTCGGTGAAGGGGGCTCTCTTGTTGTTTCTCCTGCTCTGATTTTTTTCTGTTGAAGTCATCCAAATAAGACTCCAGCACCTTGAAATCCTCATTTTCTGACTGCTCAGATGAAGTAAACTGACTGCTGTCACTGGGTTTGCTGTCTGCCGATTTGAAATCATCAAAGTCTTCATCCATGCTATTTGGGGTTGAAGCACCTAACAAAAACATTGTGTAATGTAATGTTATTGTGCAAGAAGGTCATGACATTCAAAAATTCAGTATTATGCAAAAGAAAAAAATTGGTGAATTGAAAGTATAAGTTGAGGTGTATACATGTATAAGGATGACAATTTTTGTGTAATAAATAGTATAAATTATGATTTGTGTCAAAAAAAAAAGAAGAAGAAGAGATATATTAACTATCCATCCTAAAAAAAATTATACATTTGTTCCAAATCATAAAGAATGTTCACATTTCTTACAATTAGGAAATCACTTTAAAATTTCTTACAAATAGAAATCACTTTAAAATTAAAGGATTTTTGTGTTTGTGTACTATAAAATGATTAAAAATTAGTCCTATCAGCTACTTCTAGCATTTATTTATTAATGTTCAAATGATTAAATTTAATTAGTTTGATGATTTTAATCTAGCAAACAAACAAACAAACAAACAAAAAATGCTTAAAAATTAGAATTCACTGATGTTGCTTTCATGTGTTGCATATTTATTTTAACTTTTAGTTAAATATGCTACAGCATCAGTCGTAATAATAATCAATACATTGTTAAGTATCACATAATTCAATCTTTAAAACAAGTCAGTTAACACTAACAAATTCCCTTTAAATATAATATTCATTGTTGCTTAGATTGTCCCGTTTACATCTGAAGGTCTGCAGATATCATAAATCATCCTAATATTTATCAGGGCTGGAAACATTATCTGGTTATGCTAAATATTTAGCTGTTAAACTCATTATTATAAAAATTAGGCAAAGGTATGGGTGACTAGTACAATTGATGTTTATTGGAGGAGGGAAAGAGGGCATAAAAGTATGTTGCTCAAATTTAATTTCCTGTAAAATACCCACAAAGTACCAATAGCTAATATGTTTATTGTTTGTATATTGATATAATCAATTGCTTCTATACTTTTTGTATGCATATGAAAAAAAAAGCAAACCATACAAATATGTATGATAATAATAATTAAATTGTACCTTTGGTTAAGTGATGTACTTCTATTACTAAAAATATGCTAAAACATTTCTATTCTTTTTCTTTATATTAAAAGATGTCATGCCAGAGTTTGAAGAATGAATACAGTAATGAAGTAAAGAGATAACCTACACGTACATACATAATACGTTTGCTATAAAGATAACACAAATGAATGATTTAATAATTTCTTCATGCACCCATCATATCATCACTGCATTGCCAAAAATTGCTGAAAAAAGAGCTGTTAAAATGTTGGCATTTGTATGTTTACTCCTCATCACTCAAATGCAGCAAAAGAGCGAATTTCAGCCAAGCAGAGTACAGAGTGAGTCAAAAAGTGCATGCTAGAGGAGGAAATTTTAGTGCTACGCTGTAAAAGTACCTTTCTTGCCAGTAACAATTTTTCGTTGTGGAGAAGCTGAAACTTTATGAAAAAATGACAGAAATTCAAAAAATAGGTCTACAAACAACATTCCCATACCAATGTAAGAATCTATTTATTATTTGTTAAAGAAAATGATGTGGAAAACGGAAGTCATTCATCAAACTTTCAGTCCATCAACAGTTGAATTTTTGATAATTTTGTTGACCATAAAGAAAAAAGATAAACCATGCATGGATATCAAATGCTTGTATACACATCTTGCAAAACTAAAACTTCTATTCAACTAAAATTCAAACTTCATCAGAAGCAGTTCAAAACTATCAAAACAAGTCATCCAATGCCAGCTGGTGTAGATCAACCTACCACTGTAGGACCTCCAAGGTCTACCATTACTCAACAAGTCTTCCTCTATGATAAAGTTCAATACTGTATCAATTTTTCTAAAGGAAATCTATTTCCATTCAAACATTCATTCAGATAATTTTTTTATGGTTGCATAAATTTAAAAATACAGTCATTTATTCTAAAATTCATTCAGCCTGAGACTTTCACTCAGATAAATCATGTGAATGACTTAAACTAACTCGTTCAACTATTCCACAAGTTTTCTTTATGTCTGACATCAATTCAATGGTGCTTTACATACTGGTATATTTTGTACTTCTAAGGGCAACATGGATTTTACAGACAAAAATATATTAAGTCAAGTTCACAACTCATTTTGACATTCCACACTAAATAACACACTGTTGCATTAAAGTCCTCCATCAAAGTACACATGGTATTTATGTCACTGAAAGTGAAAAATTTGCCAAAATTTGTTGACTGTTACTTATTTCTAATCTTTGCAATGATACATCAAATACTTTTTGTGGCACTCTGCAACACCCATAATTTTTTTTAACAGACTAGCAAAAGTGAAAGCATTTCCACTGCAATATAGCAAATCTAATCTAACAGCAACACAGAGTATAATCATCCTATTACTGAACTAGCATGTTGTGTTTTCTAATGCTCGATATTCATGTCAGTCAGAAACTTTGTTACAGTATCATTAATTCCATTTCATGAATTATGATTTGTTTTACATCTAAACTTCTTTTTTCATAAAGTACAATACACTGACTCTTTGCTAATCTGGATATCAATAAGACGTTCCTTTCATTTTGCTGATTATACATGAACAGTATTATTTTCTGGAACAGGTTATTCATAACATTACTCAAAATCTTTATAGAAGAGATTCAGTGATTTGGATAAAGACAGACCCATCCAGATTATCATGGCATCAGTTTATTTACAAAAGGTCTTTTTATTTCGTTTTAAAATAAAGATTTTTGTATCAAAACTAGCCAAATCTATTATATCTATTGACAATAAAAATTGTATTAAAAAGTGGGAGGGATAGAGCATTAATACTACAGATCTAGAAATTCTGATTTACCTGAGGAATCATCACTGCCAAAAAAGTTTGAAATGTTAGAGTGATTCATGTCTGGTGACATCTGAATTTGCAGGTCTTCTGGCTTAGGAACGCTGTACAAATATCTAAGACCAGAAAAAAATAAAGGACTTTAACTTGGTCAGCTACATATATATGGTACATGTATTTCACCAATACAGCTAGAACTGGCATGATAAATTATTGTATGCTCTAGATTAACTGATTATTTTAGTCATTTCATGTTCAATAACATATAAAAAAAATTTCTCAAGGTAACTGCAGATATCTTTAGATATCTAATACAAGTACATTTAAGCTTGGATATCAGATATACTGGATACTTATAAACTTACTCAGGTTCTTTTTTAAGTTTATTTGATTTCTTTTGTGAAGTTGCTATGGCTGAAAAAAATGTAACCAATTACTAAATTTGTTTAGTATATATAGACAGTGTATATAAACCTATAGATGCATTTACATAAATTGCAATCAGCTTTCAAATATAGAGCAAAAATGTGGAATATTTGCACTAAGAAATAAAAAACCAAATGTAAACATAATGAAGTTAAAATAATACAAAGTATTCTTCAGCACCTGTAGAAGTAAAGGCTGGTGCTTCCTGAAAATCTGCAAAATCATCATCCTCTGTTTTACCAGCCCGACTTCCCTCTAAACCAGAAAATCCTGGCATTCCTACCCCAGGAACTCCTTGACTAGACACTGGCTGACTTCCAGGTGAAGATGGACTCCCAGTTACCATGGATGTCTGGATACCTGTCACTGTTGGCAAAGTTCCAACTGTCCCAGAATTCCCTGCTGTGAGAGGTGTCTGAGATCCCTGAATCATTGGCAGGGTGCCAGATATCCCTGAATTCACAACTGCTGCATTGTTCTGGGGTGGGAGCTCTGAGGAGCTGGCAGGCTGAGGGGGAGGGGTAGCTTGCTGGCCCAGGAAAGGAACAGGAGGCTGGGGACACTTCCTCAACATCTCAGGTGATAGTGATGTTATGTTATTCTGTTCAGAGAAAATGAAAGACATGTAGTAAATGAAACAACAAGAGCATATAACCTGGCTCTTGAAAATGCAAATCTTTCAAAAGAATACATACTAAACCGATTTTGTTTTATGCATTCTATGGTTAATAGTAATGAAAGAAATACCTTATGATACATTAAATTTCAAGCACATCATGTTTTAATTAGAAAGTTTTTCAAAATCTAGCACTATTTGGAAGATCATTACTTCCAAGACCTGGAAAGGAAACATTGCAACTATATGGAAAATATACTTCAGCTTAGTTATGCAAAAATAGTATTGTTCATACAAATAGCATACATCTTTACTTAAAAATATGAAAACTTCTTATTACAAACCTGAGCAAAAGCAATAAGAGCCAGTATGAGGTACAGTTCTGGTTTTATTAGCTGTCCTGGAGTACTCTGGTTGGCCAGCGACCAGATCTGCCCTAAGGTCTCCTTAGGTAGACCACTCAAAACCAGAATGGGGTACAGTCTGTCTGTGGATATCTTACCATCACTAAAACACACCATAATCAAAACAATTCAGAGATGATAATCCACATTAAAATCAAGGCAAGGGATCCAAATGTCAGTATGTTCATGTGTATTTTATTTTAGTATCAAATGAAGACTTAGTATCCCCATTTCTTAAATTTACACATAACACTGACATATACAATTATAGACTACATAACACTGACATAGATAATTATAGACTACATACACAGTTGCTGCCTCCAGGACTTGTCTATATAAATGTGGAACCTTGTCATCTTCATGACACCAGGCTGGAACCTCGAATTTGACAGGTGTGGGTGGGGCCTGGGCAGTCGGGGGTGGAGAAGTAGGTGGAGCTGATACTGTAGCTGGTTCTGTGATGGTAAAGTCATATGAATTAATAAATTTTTTATCATCAATGTGAAGTTCTTTTACAATTTAACCTTGTGCAACTGGATACATTCTTAAGAAGAATGAATAATGATGACAAACAGTACATTTCAAAATTAGGCAGTTGTGAAACTAAAGATATTTGTTTTAAGCTATGAGAAGTCGATTACCTTTAAGGATCTGAAATACATATACAGTCAAACCTCGTTATCTCGAACTCGATGGGACTGAGAAAAAACTTCGAGATATCCAAGAGTTCGAGATATTGAGGGTAAAATATTTAAGAAATATGTGGTTATGACTTCCCAATCACTTCGACATATACATGGTATTCGAGATATCCATGTTCAAGATACCGAAGTTCAACTGTAAATTAATGATGATTTTAATCGTCATAAATTTACATTAACTGTAAATTAATACCATTAAAATAATGAGATTGTCAAATGAAAATACCATTAAAATAATGAGATTGTCAAATGAAAATTAGCATTCTAATCTAAATCATTTTCATCTTTAAAATATTACACAGATTTGGTGATCTCCCATCAGACCTTGGACCATAAAAAGCCCCAAAATAATGAGATTGTCAAATGAAAATTAGCATTCTAATCTAAATCATTTTCATCTTTAAAATATTATACAGATTTGGCGATCTCCCATCAGACCTTGGACTATAAAAAGCCCCGTAAGATCCTCTTCCTGTTTCCACTGGTGGGCGTGGCGACTCTGCTGGAATGTATGGTGGTGGTGGTGAGTGGGAGGTAACTCCTTCAGGGATGGCTTGTGGAATGTCTTTGCTTTATTAGGAGCTGAGAGATCAGAACACTCAAACATCATAGCCATGAGATCTAAAAGAAGTACAAACAGATTTACAATGTAAAAGTCAAACTAGGGAAAATAGCATCTTGAAAAATACCCTTGGCAAATTTGTTTTCAGATTTCTGAAGAGATTTTCATATATTAGAACATCCACTAAAAGTCTTAAAAAATAAATATTTTTTTTATATTCAGATTAGAATTCAATATCCTCTTGTGTACACATTAAGTTGGATTGAATTCATATTTTTTGTAAGCTTAATAAACTGAATCCTTAGGAGAAACATTTAACCTTTCTTTTCTTCTTTTGGGGGAATGTTCTCAGTAGGTGGTGCTGATAATTGCTCATTAGTGGTGGGAGTGGCCTCTAAGTTATTTACATTCTGGTTATCATTGGAACCTTCCTGTCCAGCAGGAGTTGAGGGGCCACCAAGAAAATCACCAAATCCATCATCTGTTTGCTGTGCATTTGTTGCTAAATGTGATTAAAAAAAAGTATGATCTGAAATCTTCAAAATCAACATTTTTTTTTTCTGTTTATTTCCATTCTTGTTAGTTTAGGTTCATATCCCCCCTTTTCATTTAAGTAAAATTTGGCTTCCATGATAATGAATTTCCAAAAGAAATTCAAACTGTAATAGAAATGCCAGTAACTTCAGCTTGCCATACAATGCAGATTTAACTTGTCAATTCTTTAAGGGGAAAATGATAGTCATTAATGTCAGTGAGAGTTATCTCTCTTTCCACTTGGAGGTTGGGGAGCAACATTTCTTAGTCACATTTTTTTTGTGTGTGTATCTATGGAAAGAAACTTAAGCAGCTTTACAGAAATAGACATTTTAACAAGAACTTACCTTCTTTAGCTGTAGGAGGGGCAGGAGTGTTTTTTGGTGTAGGTTTCTCTGATTTACCAAACATGGACTCTATCAATGAATCAGCATCCACCTTACTTCCTCCTCTAAAGTTCTTCAGCCTCTGTTGCTGTTCCTGGAACTGCCTTGCTCTTTTCTCCTGTTCTAGGGCTCGTCTTTGACTCTCTGGGGATAAAGGTGCCCTATTTCTTGCAGGAGTTGGCCCTCTGGATGGGGTTGGCCCCCTAATGAAAAGAATTACCAAAGAAATCAGACCTAATGGAAAGATTATTTGCATTCAATGTTTTCTTTATTCTTAGTTGCAAGATGGTAGGGAGGTGTTTTGTTTTTAGTTTTCTTTTTTCTTTTTTTTTTTTTTTTTGGGGGGGGGGGGGGGGGGGGTTGATAAATAAAATTTCTTCAATTAAATACATTTAACAACAATAAAACAAACCTTTGTCTGTAACTGTCTGTCAAGGCTTGATTGTATGATGGTGGACCTACCCCTGGTCTCATTCCCATCTGTAATGACAAGAAAATACTTACACTGATATTTATTCAAAATTCCTATTGAAACCACTGTATACAGGGAGGTTGTTATACCATGTTATTTCCATCCAATTGCAACAGAAAAAAAGATTTGACTGTATTTCAAATTTTGCTGTTTTAGAGCTAAAAGTTTTGTTTTGTTTTTTTTCCAACTTAGTCCATTTTGGATGAGAACAACTGGAAGAAAATTAAATAGGGGGAAAATTCATACTTTTCCATACATGTATTTTCCTTTGATCATTTTATTTAATAAGTCAATAAAATACTTTAACAGTCGGTTATATTGCTAACAACAGTCACTGACTTTTCCAGACATATGAAATGTAAAATGAAGCTCTTCTTCATTTATAGAGAACACATGGTGTTTCAAAATAATCATGGACAAACCTGCATTGGAAACATATTTCCCTGAATCATTGGACCCCTGTTAGACATCAACATTTGTTGCTGCATCATGGGGGTTTGTGGTCCCATCATTCTCTGTTGTTGCATCATGGGAAATCCTGTCATTCCAGGTTGAACATATCCTGGATGACTACTCATCATTCCAAAGTTACCTAAGTTACAAAGATAATGTAATGTTCTTAATTCAAGGAAAAATTACATGCATATTAAATGAAAGTTATTGGAATTTTTTTTATTTTGGTATAGAAAATGATTGTAAAGCATTTTGTAGGAATTAAATATTTATAAATTTATGGCAAAGATAAAACTGGGGTGTAGAATGCTTTTAAAACTGCAAAAGTTATCTTACCTGGTGGCTGCCCTGGAAATTGGGCATTTCTGTAACATAATCAGTTATAAATAAGAATATAAAGATGAAAAATTATCTAGGCATTTTATAATCATTTCTTAAGGATTCTAAAGAAATTAAGGGTGCAGCCTAGTGACACATGCATTTACTTAAGACACATGCACATGTAATAATGAAGTGTTATATTAGTGACAATAGTTGTTTAGACAGATGGAGTCTTACGAGCATGAGCACATTGCATTATTCATGTTACATGTATTTCTTTTGAATCCTATTAAATTATGTTATTATTGCTCTTTATTACTTTGTTTCTGAGTTTATAAAATGTTAAACTTAAATACTTGAAGAAACAAGCAAATTCAAAGAATTCCAGTCCCCCGCTTAGTGGTTGGGATGCAATTATCTATGGCATATTGTAACTGTCTTGTTTGTGTGTCTTGTCTTGACTTATCTGTCCATCATACGCCTCTAGAACTTGAATCAAACTTCATGATCAAGGAAATGTAAGAGGTCAAATATCAAAATATGAATCAATCCAAAAGGTCTTGTCACAAGGAATGCACATGTGAAAAAAAAAATATGAAAAACCCTGTCTCATCTGGAGCAAAAGTAATGACCAGAGTTAAAATTTTTGTTAAGTAGGTCAAACTTCTAGGTCAAGATCATGAAGTCAAAATGATAGTTCTTTCTGAAAGGTGTTATCATAAATAATCTACATGTAAAATATGAAAGCCCTGTCTTCTCTCATTTAAAAGTTATTACCAATGTAAAAATTTTTTTAAAAAGACTGTAGGTTAAACTATAAGGATAAAGTCATGAGGTCAAAAACCAGAGTACATTCGGAAAGGTCTTGAAACAGTTAATGCACATGTCAAATATAAAACCCCTATCTTCTCTCATTCAAAAGTTATCAGCAATGTCAAAATTTTTGAAATTTAGGTCAAACTTCAAGGTGAAGGTGATGGGTTTAAAAATCATAGTATATTTGGAAATATCTTGTCACAGGTAATGCACATGTCAAATATAAACATTCTATCTACTCTCTTTCAAAAGTAATGACCAAGGTTAAAGAACAGGGGAAAAAATTCTTATTAAAAATATTAAATGTAAAATATTGGGTACATATCATGATACAGTCTCTGTGTATAATGGTATATTATGAAACTCTTCAGTCCTAACATTTCAGCCCTAGCATATAGTAATGGCATTTTTCGACTGACCATAGTACATATAATATACTGCTAGGGCTGTCACAGTTCCAAAATTTTCGGGTCAGGTCAGTTCTGTAAATTTTTGGTTCAGTTTCAGGTTTTTCGGTTTGGTTATTTACATCTATTTTAAACCTTAATTTCATGAATTTAACTTGAAAATTTTTTATTTGTTATGTTAAATTCACATTGCAAACAAGTCTCAACCATGTTAACGTCTAGATATTGGTGTTTAGGACTACTAGGCCTACTATTAGCCACAACCTGACCATTCTTGCTCGTTTTGAAAATTATCTTATCCTTTCCTGACAAGTGTTTTGTCATGGAATGAAGTAGATTTCAGTTGTGATGTTTATTTATCACTGTTATCGTCATCATTCTTTTGATTTCGATGCCATTTTTTGTATTAAAAAGATTCTAATATACATACCAACCCGAACCGAAATCTGGAAAAATGGAACCGAACAACTAGGACCGCGGTTTTCAGTTGTTTCGGGTAACCTTGACAGCCCTGTATTCTGCAGATATCTAATTTTCATAATTTTATCAACATTTACACCTTTAGAGATATAACATCTTACCCTAAAAACAATCCTACCCTTTATCGACATATATAAAACACAATGTGCAAAGTCATTTTGACCCCCTCTTCGATTCCAGCTTCAATTAACATTAGAAATTGGACATGCCTACAAGTTTGCATGTATTTATGTGTTCAAATATGATAATCATTACTATCCATTGCTTCAAAACATTTAATTCCACCACATTACTTGAACCCATTGATATATGCAAACCAGTAGGCATGTCTAAGTTTTATAATTCATGGAAGCCAGGATCCAGGAAGGGATCAAAATAGTACTGCACAGTGTACACTTTGTGTTTTTATGTATAAAAGGGGTAATATTTTTTTAAACTGTGGATTTATTTGAAACTTAAATAAAATTTCAAGTGTCTTTGACATATGCTACATCAGAGGCATAAATGATATGTTATTTGGCTACATAATCAGTACATAGGCTACAGTACGCTGTTTTTTCCCACAAAATAAGAAATTGAAGTTCAACAACTGATAAACTGATAACTGTTTCATCATTTGTATGTGTGTGTCTACACCAACAGCAATCAGACTCAAAACTACATGTTCTTCAGTTATAGAAATCATTACAGTAAACATAAATTTATCACTGTCACTAGTGACAGTCTCACCACTTGTAGATTTCGGTTAATTTTGCTACAATATTCAACATAAGAATACTATTGCCTCAAATACAACATGTTGTAGTTCATTTTTACTACTCTGTAAGTCTATAAAATGGGAAAGGAAAGGACCAAAAAGATGACATTTAGAAATAAAAGGTGGTACCTGTTTTCGTTCATCTTTGGAACTCTTTTGCATTTGAAAATAAGAAAAGTGCATGTAACGGTTAGTAAAAGGAATGATGATAAGATGAACTATTTCCGGAAATTGTCTATTTCATCTTAAAATAAATATGCACCAATCACTTTAACAGTGTTTAATCAGACCTAGAAATATGAATATCTAAGGGAACGAACCCCATAAATTAATTATTTCTTGATATATTTTCGTACATGCAATCATTGACATTTATGAAGATAGTTAAAGCGACAGTACGGCTGCAAAATATGTGCTTTTTCATCCAAATTTACCCAATATGTCATTAAGAAATAAGGTATAAAGTTGATGTAAGCAGTTTGAGAAACAGAAATATTCTCTACTCAAACAAAATTAACGTAATTAGAATCTGCCGGAAAATCAAGGGTCGTACGAACTGGAGCAATCTTAGATCTGTTTATTTGTACCACGTGAATTCTAAAACGGCACGTGCCTACACTGTAGCGTTTACATTTATAATGAATATTAGGTGAAAGCAATTTTCAAAAACAAAAAATTATCATAACTATCTGATAAAATAATCTAAAATAATAATCGAAAAGATTTTAGTCTGCATTCAGGCGAATTTAACAGAAATTAAAAGTACAAATGTTTACGTTTTGTGTATTGGGGTCCGAGAAAGGAAAAACCAACTAATCATACGTTATCGCGGCAAATGTCAAACAAAATATGTTTCTGCACAGTTAAAAAAAATTAGCATTTCAAATGGCAACAATGTTTATAAGTCAAAGATGTATTTTTTATGTTGAGATTACACTATTTTTTTTTCTTTGAAAGCGACGGAAAAATGAGGAAATGATAACAAGTATCAACAAACCTGTCGAATAGAACCTTCGAGAGCCCTGCGTGAGTGTCGCCGAGTTCCCGTTTCTTCCTTATCCAGCGATTATATTAATCCCCAAACTAAATTTTAGTCAGGAAAGTTGCTTTTTCAAGTTCTGTTTTCAGTTTCTTTTTCTTTTTGGTCGACTTTGTCAATGTAGCAGGCCTACCGGGATTCCCTCTCTAACCATGCTGTTTTGTTTATGAAAACTACGCATGCGTGCATAGCATGGAATGTGGAACCCCGAACACGTTGCGATGTATATATTTACGTCCCATGAATAACTATTAATTTTAATGAAATAATCCAAATTATTTAATTGTAAAAGTTGTAATTTTCTGAAAGTTTATATATTTATGAGTAGTAAAAAAATTCCAAATCTTGTCGGAAAATTTTATCTAGTCAGTTTTTTGATGAGACGCGCCGTACTGTCACTTTAAGGTATGTCACTCGTGAAATTTGTTATATCAAGGATTTTTTGAGAAGTATATTTTGGATAAGTACTCATATAGTATGACTCAAAATCGCAGAGAAAATGGGGGGTCAGTGTGCATCTAACTGAGCTACGGTACAATTAAGTTGACCTTTTTGCACTTAAATTGTAACTCTTTGGTTAATCACTTTAACCGTTATCATATTTTATCAGATGTAACCATGGCAATAAACATATTCTTATTTTACGTAAAATAGTTTGAATAATATTTATCATTGAACAAATCATGCAAATTAATGCGCGTAAATTATTGTGTGACCTTTTTGCACTAAAAAAGTCTCATATTTGGGGTATTAAAAATCTAAATAAGCAATAGAATATTTTCTTGTATCAAACTTTTTACGACTTAAGTGCTGATCGGTCAAAAGTATCGAGTAGTTTAAAATAATGAAAGAAAAAGTTGGGGTCAGTGATGTAAATTTTGAAATATTGGTCAAAATATGCGATTTTCTGGCAAATAAGTGTTTAAATTTTATCTTGACTTCTTTAAATATATCTTCATTTCTTGGCAAAATTTGTTGAGTGAAGGTGTAAATTTTGTTATAAAAATATAAATTGAGACCTATATTTAATATTCCAGGCATATCATAACGGAAAATATTCTCTGAGTAAAAGTATGTGAGGCTAAAGTCCAAAGATATTAAATTTAATAAATGCGTAGATTTGCAGAAATTTCTACTAAATATCCTTCCACCACAAGAAATAGTCCCTTATAAATCTTGCTTCTTTATGAATTTTTGAGCAGTTTTTTAATTGAATGTTGAACATTTTACATTGTTTAATTTAAATATGTTATAAAGATTGAATTGTAATAAATAGTTTTTAAGTAAGAGGTTCTGACTGAACTTTTCTAAAAGGCTGACGAGTGACATACCTTAAATTGTGCCAGCACTCAAATTCTTTTGATTGTTTGGTGGGCGTGGACAGCGGAATGCCATTCTCCGTCCCCTCTTCTCCCTTAACTTCTCTCACCTTATCTTCTCTACTCAAGATTTGGAGTAAACTTAATAAATGCGCAATTAGCTGTAATCGGTGATTTTCCTCAGAGGGTGTGGATGCATTGTAGGGCTTCTAGATGAAAAGGAGAGCTAGGGTATGAAAAAATATATAATTTAAATTAATTTTGTTTTTAAATGTGTAATAGAAAGTAAGAGGCCTGTGATTACATTTTTCTCGAAAGGAAAGTGAAATATGCAGGATATGGTTGATTGAGATGTCAAAGCAGGACATGCAGACTATGAATTTCTGGAGAGTTCAGACAAAAATTTTATTTTTAATTATCTATTATAAATGAAATTCATTTATGTATGCAATGTAATAAAACAAAACAGGGCAATGAAAGCATGTTTTTTTTTTTGTTTGTCTGTTTGTTGTTTAAAGTGCCTCTCGAGAATATTTCACCCATATGAAGACGCCACCACTTGCCAGTGGAGAGCTGCAGATATTTGAAATATACTCGGCACTCAGGGTCATTGAGCAATGAGGGATCTTTTTCATGCCAACACCTTCTACGACACGGGACCTCGGTTTATACGGTCTCATCCGAAGGACCGGTCTCTACGTCCTAGAGTGGGATTCGAACCCGCGACGTAAGGATCAATTCCTTACTTCGCGAGAGCAGACGCTCTAACCACTGCCCCACTGAAAGCATACATGTACTCTATTTGATACCGAAATCGCTATATTTTAAGATAATCAATTCTAGATAAAATGAAAATAAATTCAACAAGCAAAATAGAAGAAGAACGCCTGTCAGCAAAATGATAAATCAAAGGCGATTAATGACATCTGAGAAATTCCCGGTAAAAATTGTATATTTTGTTTCTCCGTTAATCTGCTCATAAAGTACCAAAGTTGTTTTTGCCTATTAAGTTTATAATTTCAACGAAAATGAAACAATAGCAATGAAACTTTCCTGAAAGTTTCAGAGGGGTTCTTGACATGGCCATAGGAACCGGGGAGGGGGATACAGGGGGGGGACGTGCCCCCCCCCCCCAATAATTTTGCCGATATATAGATTACTATAGAAAACATAGATACTATATGCTTGTGCCCCCTCAATAAAAACGTCTAATGACCTTTTTTTTCTTTTGCTTGTCAGGGAATTTTTGGTAGTTGATAGTGCCCCCTCAACTGAAGATGTATGGCTGTGCCTCCCCCCCCCCCACTGAAATTGCTTCCTACGGGCCTGCTTGACTACTCACTATACCCTAAAATATCGTGCCGATCCGAAGCCAGGTTTAAAATTAAGATAAATATTCTACGTCGTATTGCGCTGGGAAGGGAGAGGGGTTAAAAGCAAGCAAAGTAAGAAGAAAGATATATAATGAGGAATATTAAAAGCTAACATGAAGATATCATGAAACCTGGAGGTCAAAGGTCACGGTAATGTCTTCAGCAATTTTCTTTATGCTTACAATGACCTTGACTTTGACCCAATGTTTCGGCCAAGTTTCAAGAGTTTCATCACAGGTACTCCATGTTTCTACGACTTTTCGCTTAGAGGTTTTAGGTTTTGATGGAAAAAACGGAAGATTTTTGGATCCATCCCCCAAAGCTGCTATAATTATGTCTCGCCACTCTTATATAGGGATATTTATTGTGTTCACCTCTGTCGAAACTGAACGGGAAATTTCTTCCCATGTCTGTAACTTAGCGCATAGGTACCATGGGTACGCATAAGATTTTGCTGGTGAAGACACCGTTGATCAGAAACAGCAAGAAATGTCCTTTTTAAACCCACATTTACGTATTAGGCCATCATTTTTTAAAAACCTTTATGCAACACATGAATAGAAACAGATTAACTTGTTAAGAAAAAATAATATAAAACCACTAAAAAATAAATACATGTAGATAAATAAGCAAGCAAAATATCGAGGCACTGATCAATGTACTACTTAGTACTTGGTATGCAAATCTCATACACATCAGTATATGGTGAGTCATACATTTATACATGTTCCAGATTTCACCTAATCTGTTCCCCTTGTTTTTCTTATCCATCAAAATAACACCTCTTGTATCTGTATGCCTAGAAAAGGAAATCCCAAAAGTACGAGTAGGAATATATATTAATTATTTGTTTGAAAAAATCACAATGGAAGTAAAGGGCAACCTTGCGCTGGACCTACCAAAATAAATAAATAAAAATAACTGTAAAAGTTGTATTTTTGTACTATTATTACAGATTTACATGGGATATACATGTATATTTATAGTCTTTAATTTGCTACCTACAATGTATTAATGAAAGAGGCCTTCATGGTCTCGAAAAACACCGTCTATAATTTGTTAATGATTTCATCAAGCCAAGCAAAAATAAGAATGCGGTGAATGTCCTCTCTTTGTAATATTTGTTGTTTAGCCTGTGTAGAAAAATTCAGGATAATAAGAATCAAAATATCTATCGACCAACCAGTTATCACCTGTAAATATTAATTATACATCTTGGCACTCCTACACGTATTAATGACCATAGAGATCCCATTGATCATTTGACCAAAGAAATTGATCAAAATGTTTTACGCATCAGTTAAACCCGTGTAGGACACATTCACTTCACCTGTCCAAGGAGCAATAGAATGGACAAACAAACTTCCATTGTTTATATATTAATGGCATTGACGGTTTTCAATCCGGACGTGCAAGCCCAGAAGAATTCAAAA